CTCCCCTAACCTACATAACATATGAGGGCCGAGCAGGTCCAGCTGCAGACTGAGAGCAGCACCCACACACTCCCACAGCCGCACAGGATGGAGCAGGAAAATAACTGGGAACGTACTTCACTGCATGAGTTAGAAAAGCCACATCAGCTTCCCTGCAGCTGAGTGTTGGACACGAACCAACACTCGTGTCAGTTACATCCCACTTCATTGGAAATTACAAAACGGTGTCGTGTCCTGTGGACTGTTTTGAGTCCAGTGAGACACATTTCTGAGAACTTAGCAGAGCTGCTGCTCAAAATGGCAGCAAAGTGCAGCGGTGCTGACAATGCAGCTAACATAATACCTTAAGCAGCTAACATCCTGAAATCCTTCATCCTTCATCTTTTTGTAAGAGACTGACGGTGATGAAGCCCACTGTGGGAGCACAACAGTCACAGGGGAACTCAGATCTGTCCACCGACACATGGGCATGCCTCAGTCACTCAAACAGGAAGTCAACGTTTCATATTCTCAAACAAGGACCACTCATCTCTGCGCGGCTGTTCTGAATGCAGCTGATGATCTTTGGGAGACGCTGCAGCCATGCACTGTTTGGACACAGCAGTGCAGACAGGTGCACAAATGTTTTATTATTGTTATTATTAGACAACTTCTATTTGTTTTTGTTGCATCGTTGCTATGAAATGCAGAGCAGACATGAGTGGAGATAAGTTTTAGGAGAATATAACAACAACCACCATGCTTGACCCAAGAAAGGGGAAAAATGTGACCTTTAATGAAAACAGAGCAGCTGATGAAAGTTTTCTGAGAATAGCTGCAGCAACAGTAAAATACAGGCAGCCAACTGCACTGCCAGGGCCGAGGAGGAGAGGAGGAGCAAGAGGAGTCACAAGCTTCTAATGTTTGGAGGTTCAACTGCAGACACTAAGAGAAGGAATCTCTCAGCTGATGCTGGACGTGAGGAGCTTCTATTCCACTGACCCGCTGAGCCCGAGGCTACAATCTGTCCACGTCTTACACTGACATGAAGACTGTGCGTGGTATCAGCCCCCTCTGTTTTATCTTAAAACACAGAGAAGAACCACGATTAACCCGTCAAAGCTGAGGCTTTTCTTAATCGTCACTAAAAGCTAAACCTGGATTCTGCTGTTTTATTTGTTTTACAGATTTAAATGCATGTTTTGTAATGTGGTTCTGTTTCACTGTAAATAGTTAAAAGCGTATAAATATTAAAGATACAATCAGAGACTGAAGCTTTTTGTCACTTTGAGATTTGTTTTGTACTATTTCTTTTTCCCAGCACTCTGTTCCATGTATAGTGCCATAACTCATATAAATAATAACGTTCGTTATAATATGTGGTTTGTACATTAGTCATTTAATTTATACAAACATTTACTTAAATCTTTTGTAATAAATTGATCTAAAGAGCTGATTGGGAGCCAGCAGAGCCGACTCACTGTGGTGAGCCATAAGAAGCAGCCAGAATTCAAATCACTCATAGTTTCCATCACTGTTGGCGAAACGTTACAGAGAAGCTCTGTGTGACTGTCCAACAGCTGCTAATGGTTTGAATGTACACATAATATTCACTGAGTGATGTTAGGCACCCACAGTGACATAAACTGTATCTGTACTGGAAACAAAACAAATACCAACAACAGCTTTGCAACATGAACTTCTGTCCATGTGCTGCTCGTAGTTTATAGAACAACAGTCAGTGTTTCTGTGTATCCACAAACACAATCAGACCTCCTGCAAAGGAAGATGAAGTCATGGCTTTAGATGCTGAGTTTGAGCAAAGAGACTAGAAAACGTTATGTTTCATTATTCTGA